GTTTGACTTACAATTCCTCTAAAGTTTAATCTAGCTGCATACCAGCATCTAACTGTTTAATTAACATGACGATTGCAAATTTGAATGTGGAGCTGGGAAAAGCGTAAATTGCACCCTTAACTATCCATTCTAAAGCCAAAAAAAGTCACCAAACAAAGACCTCGCACTTCATGAGCATTTAAAAGTATCTTCATTGTTTTCTTAACAATCATTGCCGAGCCAAAAAAGCCACCAACACGCAGGTCTTCAAAAGATGCCCTGACTGTACATGTATGGTATAGTATGTATAGTACCTTATTAATAATTATTACATTCAACGGCCTTTAATTTTGCGTTTTTCGCGATTGTAAAAAAACCGGAAATTAATGATGACATGTAATATATACATGCACATTACATGTAAGTGCAAAGATCTCACATACACGTATGGAGTAAAAAATCTAGAGGTAGAGAATCCGTGTGTTAAAAATTGCTTGTTCCATTTTATCCTAAATTTTAATATTAAGTTCCGACTTTTTGAAAGATATAATGAAAGTGAGAACGCTTGAATCGCAAAGATTAATGCCCTTTTTTTGGCCTATTGAAATCGCGAAAATAAAACACAGTGAAATACTGTCTCGTCAAAATGGCAAAATTTAGTACCAATAAGGTATTTAACAATTATTCCTCGAGCCCGAATGGGCTCTGAGTCAATAGCTATTGACTCAGAGGTCATGAGGGCAAGAGGAATAATTGTTTAGAAAAATCCATCTCTTTAGTCAAAAATATCGACTCGAGACAAAACAACTTAAGCAAGCAAAACATGGTTCAGCCATCATTTTTTTTGGTATTCAAAGCTGGCGCTTTTCGCTACTAGTGGTGTAACCTTTGTTTCATGAGATGTTCTAACGCAGCTCAGTATCTATCTCTGATGACAGAGAGGGTGTTACCTTTTGTATCTGTCAGATAGGGTACAGCTAAGGATGTCAGGTAAAACACTGCCCTGTGAATCGGAACACAAACAATATGATACTGTCTATATTATAAACATTGGAGTACTTACGCCAACTGGTTTTCCAGTTCCCATAAGCATATTTTGCGACCAAAGTGAACTCAGAAACACTTGAAATACTATTCTCTTTTCTGACTATTTAAATGGCTACTTTCTTTATCTCAAAGTCATTCCACAATTTGACAATTTCATACTTCTTTCAACCTCTCTACAACAACCACGTCACCTCAGCAGGCTACAGCAATGGTCAAGTGCTACACTAATGTAACCTTGATACAACAAAGGGTTAAGGGACTAACAAATTATGTTCAAGCTAAGGTTAAAAGTTTTTGGTCCTGAATATCATCATTAACAAACTCTTTCCAGTTAGAGGGCTCGTCAAAAAGCTAAATTAACATGTGCACTGAAGAATAACCAACCCCTTACCCCTGAAAAAAAAAACACTCTATCTCATTTCAATTTTGTCATCGGGTTTCAACAAGGACACAAACACATTTTTTGCAACACACTATTTACTAGTTTACTTTAGGAATTTAACTTGATGCACATATCACCTTGTATTTATCCGCATTACTTTGTCAAATGATTCCAAGGATGTACTTTCAATAGTTCCTTTAGCGACGATACCCGCATTATTAACCTGTGGTATAGGAGAAAATATTTAAGTGATAGAAAACGTTTTCGGTGTTTGCATAGCCTGATATAAACACGAGAGGGGTTGGGAGAATTCAAAACAGTTATGCAAACCCGAGATGAAGTCAAGGGTTTGCATAACTGTCGAGAATTCTCCCAACCCCTTAAGAGCTTATATCAGGCTATGCAAATACAGGAAAAAAAGTTTCTATTGCTTTTATTACTTTTTTCTTTGTTATGGCACTGATTAAAAGAGAAATTCTTACCAGTCGCGAAGTCTTGTACACGAAGTCTCGCTCGCATAACCAGTTCTCGTTTTGCAAAAATATGCTTTCCAAAATATGGATTTTTCTCACTTAAAATGTCAGCTTAAGCAAAAACAAATTGACATAGCATGTTTCTAACGATTTTCCAAGTTTCAGCCAACGAGGGAATGGGTAAATAAAGTAAACTTGTTGAGTTTTCAACTAAAAAACGTTTTCAAATTTGTGCTTTCGTGATTAGTGTGCAAAAAGCAAAACATCTTGATGTCACAACCATGTTCACATACTCTCCTGCAAACACGCCCCTCGACCAATCGGAGCACACATATTATATAAATAAAGATGTAAAAATAAATCATTTAAACATTAAGGTCACACAACACATTAACAGAAGATATCATACCCTGCTAAGATGTGTTTGGATATCATCTGATGTGAAATTAAAAACTGTCATTGTTTCCAGGGCTGGATCTTGACTAGGGGGAGGGTGCAGGGAGTGTGCACCCCGCCCCCCTCTCGCCCCTCTGAGATGAACTGCAGCTTTCTAATACAACTGGTATTCTGTATTAAAATTTCTTTAAGTCACCAGTCAGTTACACCATTCCTTCATGGTGCACCCCCTCCTAAGAAAAATCCTGGATGCCCCCCTGGTTTCACGTCCGCAAACTGCTAGAACTTCTAGCCTTCTTCACTATTTAAGCCCTAATTAAAGGGTTAAGAATCAGATCAGTATCAAACCTTTTCAGGACAAGGCTGTGCTCTAGCAGAGCCTGGTGGCCTGTGGCCCCTAACTTTTGTTCTTGGGCAACTCGAAAATCTTAGCTTTTTCATAGAAATCATAAGCTGGGCACACTGGATTTCACAAGTTCAGAGCACTGGGCCCCCTTCAATTTTTTTCAGAGCACAACCTTGCAGGAAAACAACTGATTGGCGATGAAACTTAAGGACATGATTGCACAAGACAATAGAGAGCTTTAGATTCTAAGACGAGTACGACTACGAGTACGAGATTTTCTCAATACTAAGTAGTGCACGCGCGTAAACCAGCGTCATTTTGGCGGGAAAATGTGGTAGCCGTCGTCATTCTACTACGAGTTTTAGCGAGAGTGTCGTGGTGGCGAAAACAAGATATCAAATGTTAGAGGTTTTATCATCTTGCGATGGGGAAAGCGCGAAACCTCCTACACTAAAGGTAACAGTGCTAACTTTTCTTGTGAAATATGATAAAATCTAGCTTTGCGGCAAGTCTATATTTTGAAGAATAGGCGAAAAAAATTCAAGTCAAATCTCGTACTCGTAGCCGTTCTCGTCCTCGAATCTAAAGGTCTCTAATTAACTTTTCCCCAACACTTTTAAACGAAATGCATGAGGGGAACAAGTGAGTCAGAATTTAAATTTTGATAAATAGGGTTTAGGTGATTAAATAAGGACAATTTAAAATAACCACAGGTCCCATATCAGAGCACGTTCACTGATCTGATTCTTGTGGAAAGTACACTGTAAAGAAACCACTAGGGACTTAACAATCTCTGACTATTCCCCCCCCCCCCAGGGGGCGATCTTCAGACAACTATTTTTCTTGGCTGTTTAATATGTGGTGTCCAGGATGTACATAACATGGTTAACATATATTACATCAAATTCAGTTGAATATTTTGGGTAATAGTCGCTTATACAACCATTATACCATAATTTGAAAGGAAAGTTACTTAAAGGGCTGGGTTTGTGCCATCAACTGCAACAACATTGTTCTTACCAAAATATCCAGCTTTCCAAACTGTTTTATTGTGGCCTCAAGAAGTGCTTTTATATCTTCATCTTTTTCTAAATCACCTTGCACTGGTAAAACCTGACAAAACATCGCACTCTTTCCATTACAAACCATAAAAGACTCCTTAAAGATGTAATCTTGTTTCAAGTATTATGGCTGGGGATTCAAATGAATTATCTAAGTACTTAAAAAATAAATCAATCCAATTAAAATAAATCAAATGAAGTTTTTTGAGTACATGTCTATACATGTATAACTCAAACTCCCAATAACTGAGGGTCCACAGTTGGTTTGCCGGGATGCAGGGTTTGGCTATTTTTTGTGGTGATACTTGGGATGCAAGCTAAAAACAGGAGCGGGAAGAGGGAATTCAATGACAAGTGGGAGCAGGATTTCCTATATTTATAGGGTTGGGATGCCAGAATCCTAGGGATAAAATAGCAGGATTGGGGAATTTTAACGAGGGCTAAGTAAGTTTGTGTAGACAAATGGTGGATTGATTTCCCTAGAACACCTGCTAGAAGGTTCGAATTATCGGGAGTTACTGTGTAATTCACTACATTAAGAACTACTTGTACAGAAGCCTTCTTGGTGGGGTGTATACATATAATATCCCTGGTCTGAATTTTAAAGTGGGTCAGCATTTTCTGCACTGAAAAGAAGGGCATGTCACTGTCGGTATTTTATAATTGTATTTGCGAGTGTCGCAGCTTCAAACCATCTTCATGTTATTTGTCAACATTTCGTCTGCCTTACACCACTGTTTAAAGGCCATGTCGCTTGTTGGAATTTTACCCTAAGGGAGCCTCTGTTATGGCAGTTGGAAATGTTTCAGTGGTTAATGTGTTTTTATTTGATGACTGGACGCCTTTTGGGAGGGAAAAGGTTAATTACCTGAGCATCGCTTCTGGCCTCTTTGCATTTAGCTGCCACATTATCAAGTTCAGTTTTGTTTCTCCCTCCAAAAGCAACACTGCAACCAAGTTTAGACAACAAAAGAACTGCACCTCGGCCAATACCAGAACTTCCTCCTAAAACATATTTATTAGTAAGTTCTATAGTTAAAACATACGAACGAAAAATGATCTTTCGAATAAAGGAACACAATTCAATAATAATCCTTAGCCTATATCCCCCCACCCCACCCCGCGTATGTTTAAACGGGCGTCTGGCAAAGCCGGAAACCGGAATCCGGAATAGGAACGGGAATGGGAACAGGAACCGGAACCGGAACCGGAACCGGAAACGGCAAAGGAACAGTAACAGCAATGTGAAGGGGAACCAATACAAGAACAGGGACATCATTACTTTAAATTATTTTAATTCTAATTCAATTTATACAAAAAATAAGAAAACTAGTCTGGTATCATGCCCCCCCCCACGAATCTCTTTATATTACGGAAACGAGAAGGTAGAAAAAGCCGCAAGTTAAATAAGTAAAGCAACAGCTTTGGGAGTGCATCGCGCTTTCTGTCAATTTCTTCACCGCCTATGCACAACTACCACGTCAATGATCAAATCTTAAGTTCTCTTGAGAACGTGAACGGCAGGCGATAAATTTTATTGTGTCTTTCTGAGCTCGGACGCGGTCTCCAG